CGTCTAGGCGCTAGGCGCTAGTTAGGCGGTCTAGGTACCGCCTAGGCCTAGGCTTACGCCTAAGCGGACTAGGCGGAGGTTTTTTAAAACAGTGGGTATGATTATTAGTCAATATATGCTTTACAACTTGTTGCGTTAGTATCACAACAAATTTGGAGAGCCAATGATCTGGATGCTCAGTTTACATAGGGGTTAAAATTTAAAAATGAGTTCCATGAAATTTCCAAACTTTATTCTATATTTGTCAATGTTTTAAATTTTCTGTATCATAATAGTGCCATTTCTTATAATTTGCATATAAGTCATGAAACTTGAGAGTTCTAGAATTTGGACATAGACCCTTCTGATAATATCTTGTTCAATTCTAGTCATTGTGGCATTATGGTGAGGCATTTTATGTTACATTCTGTTGGAACCATTAGTTATTCAAAATCATGCTTCTTGAAATTCCTTGTTATGAAAGTTATGCGCGAAAGGATAAGAACATTATCACCATGGTAAGAAGAAATTCTTAAAATGGTCAATTTAACTCAGAGAAGATAATAAAGCTTGTTGGGTCATCATTTAGCTTTTAGAATATTTTCTGGTGTTAATGGAAACTTTTGTTGCAGCAATGGTTTTAGTTTGTCACAACATGATCCACGTAATAGTAAAAATTCACTTTTAGTTGTTTTCTTTTGCTGCCTCTTATAGAATTTTATGTAGCACTTCTTTACCTTTCCATGTTAAACAGAGACAATATTTGTTCGAGTTTATGAAGAAAGGATGGACCTTTTAACCTGTTGGAACTCCATATCATGATGGCCTCTTCTTCTTTGACTTCCAGTTTCCTGCAAATTATCCACATTCGCCACCGGTATGCTTATCTCTATGCTTTGACATAATTCTCTCCTAAACTTATTTAAGCCCTGTTTTCTGGTGACATTTTGTTTTATTTTTTATTTTAGTTTATTGTTGCTTTTACATTTTCTTTTTTGCATTTGGTGCAGAAAGCACATTACCACTCCGGAGGTCTTCGACTCAATCCCAACTTGTATGAATGTGGTAAGGTTTGTCTGAGCCTTTTAGGGACCTGGGCTGGCAAAGGATGTGAAAAGTGGGATCCACATAAATCAACCATGCTTCAGGTTCTAGTCTCCATCCAAGCTCTTGTTTTGAATGAAAAACCGTATTTCAATGAACCGGGATATGAAAAATCAGCTAACACCCAATATGGAGAAGCAAATGCTTTGGCTTACAATGAGACCACCTTCTTGTACTCCTGCAAGACAATGATGTACTCTCTTCGAAGGCCTCCCAAGGTTAGATCTATGATGTGTTATATCTGTAATATCCTGACCCGACATTGACTGATTATGAAATTTTAGGAGCTAGGATTAATTTTAAGAAAGGGTTAACTGTGGATAGACCCCTTGTACCATTGTCCAATTGCAAATAGATGCCTGTAGTTTTATTAGTGTGGATGGACTCCTGTGCTATTTGTCCAAGTGCAGAGAGACCCCTGAGTGATTTTTTTGGGTTAATTTCAAAACCAACCCCCCCTCCCCGAAAAAAAAAAACTAGTAATCACCAGAATCATGGAACTTCCCTCGGTTTTTTAATTCATCAATGAACCCTTATAGTTACGATTTCTCATGAAATCCATACTTCCCTTAGTTTAGACGGAAAATAACATCTTATAGACCACAATACCCCATTAAGTTTGAGTTTTCAATTTCTTTCCCTTTCTCTTCGATTCTGGTCGATCTCTGTGGCTTAAACACCAAGTTTGATGTTTTGGCGAATTATGTAGTTCGAGCAAATGGCTTTTCAGTGATTGATAAACTTGATTTTATCCTATAGGCTATACTTGATGATATCATAAGTAGAAAATTGTCCAAACCGACTTTCAAAATATCTTTCGAAGTCATACTTACGTCAACTTTGATCTTATCAACAATATTGTAGTTATTCATTCTCTCTCGCAAATGTATCATGATAATAAATGAGCCTTTTAATGATGCAAAAGAAATTCATCCATCAATATGTTCTGCAAATTTGGGAGACAGTCCTTCGCAACTGTCCACTTTTCATGTCACACCCTAGGTCCGAGGGCCCGTTAGTGCGTGCAAGCCGTGGGACCCACCAAGTGTAACACGCTGTTTAGCTAAATTCACTATCAAAATCGACTAGCTGATGTTATACTTGAGTCTTGGACTTACCTATTTAAGCCACTAGATTTCTTCACAGTTTCCTCATGTAGGACTAAAGTGAGCGTCACAATCACCCCACCTTACAAAGGTGACGTCCTTGTCGTGACATGATAATTGACACATCCCAGAATTACCAGACAATGTGGACTCTAGAGGTGGTTCCTACGGGTTTTAGAGGTTGCTCCCATCGCACTCACGCTGTGTAGCACTTACCCTTTCGCATAGCACTTACCTCCACGCTTCCAGCTGAAACTGCTCTAATACCATTTGTCACGCGCCAAGCCCGCGGACCCGTTGACGTATGCAAGCCGTGGGACCCATTGAATGTAATACGCTGTTTGGCTAAATCCATTGCCAAAATGGACTAGCTGATGTTATACTTGAGTCTTGGGCTTACTTATTTAAGCTACTAAATCTCTTCACACTTTCCCGACGTGGGACTAAAGTGTGGGACGTCACATTTCAACTTCTAGTGAGCAATAACCTATTGCTAATTTACAGAACAATATCCCATAATGATAATACAAATGTATGAACTTTTAGCTTTTGGGTGTGGGACAAGAAATCCCTTTTAGTTTTTTTTTTTAATTTGATGATCAGTGTTTATTAGTGATTAGAGGAGGGTGAAGGTGAAATAATAAATGGAAGAAAAAAAATGTTTTGTTTCCTTTTTTTTTTCTTTTTTTCTTCTGATGAATTTTTTTTGTCTTCTTTTAATCTTTAGAATTTGATCTGCATCAGTTTTTTAGGGGCAAAAACATCCTAAAAATTAGTAATTAACAACTTCTAGGAACCGTTATTTTGAATATAGGAATAAAAATTAGGAGGGGGTGTATTGATGAATGACAAACTTGAGGGACTTTCTATACTAGTTTAGGGAGGTTTTCTGAAACTAACCCTTTCATCGTTGTTTATTCTGAGTGAATTTTGTTTTATCCTATTGATGAATTACAAACTTGAGGGTTGTTTCTTGATTGTAGTTACTGGTTTAGGGAGGTTTTCTGAAATTAACCCTTTTGTTTTGTTGTTTATCCTGAGTGGATTTTTGTGAGTCTTAAAAGAGTGAAAAAAGTCCACTCAGGGCGCATATCCACACAAATTGAACTACAGGGGGTCTATCTGCAATTGGGCTATAGTAGAGGGGTCCGCAATTAACACTTCAAGAACTCTCTCATGCATGCGAGAGCTATCTTCCATGTTGCTACAGTAACATTATCTTCTGCTGTATTTGCAGTACTTTGAGGACTTTGTTGCCGGACATTTTCGGAAGCGTGGGCATGCAATCCTGGTAGCATGCAGAGCGTACTTAGATAGTGCTCAGGTTGGTACTGTTGTTGAGGAGTACAAGGGACAGAATGCTGCTGGAAGCTCCAAGGGATGCTCACCAGATTTTAAGAGGCAACTAAAGCAGCTCTTTGAGGATCTTTTGATGGAGTTCACAGTAAAAGGAGCTGATTGCAAAGAATTTCTCAATCAGAAGGTCAAAGTTGGAGATGCTACTGCTCTACCACAAGAAGAAGAGAAACTGACATGATCACATTTTAAGCATTTACTTGAGATCTGAGGACAAAAGTTTTGCCTGCATATGATCAGTTGGCCTTCTGATGCTGTATAGATCAGTTTGGACTGGATGCTAGTAGGGTACAGAAAGTGCTGCCTAACTTATGCTTGTAAATAGAGGGGCAAGTGTACAGGTATCCTTAGTTTGAGGATTTAGTTTATTGAATGAGATACGGTAATGGCTGATAACTAAGGTACAAGTTTTTTAGGTTATAATAATTCTTAAGATCCTTTTGACGACGCTTAAACCTTTTTCTGATGCATTACAACTTAAGTATTTTTGATTGAGCACCATTGCTGCACGCAGTGTTATTTCTATAGGTACGACTTTGTGTGCTTCCTTCTAGATTGTGTTTAGAGGTAGCATTTGCGTACCTCTGTAAATGCTTTTATGTCCCGGTGACTGAAAGAAAATGGCTTCATCAAATTTCTGCCAGTTTTTTTGTAGGATTGTGCTTGCTCTGCAGCTGCATGTTCCTATGTTCAAGCTGACGTGTCACATTGTTCTATGATATGGCGGTATGTGATTCCAATAAGCTTACTTCTTTATGTTTAGTATCTGAAATTTTCATTGAATCAATTGCCCTGGTGTAATGTTCTCTGTTTTTTGTATAACTGCATTATCTGGCAAAAACTTTCAGATGATTATGATAAAAATGCAAGGGAGATTACTCAATGAATTATAGGTAAGTGATAACCATTATTGTCTGTAAATTGCATTGAGAGCGAAAAAGAAGAGGAACCCTCAAAGTTCTGGTCTAACCTTATGCTACAAGCCTACAACTATTAGTTTCTATATTCATCAATGCATCTTAGAAGTCTTATCTTTACCCTTTTCAGCCCTGTGGACTAGCTATCCTTTCAGTTGTAAGGACGATTTATTTCACATACCTGTTCTTCATCTTTGCATTTATATCTTTCTGAGTAGCCTGAATATGTGATAGGATTTTATCCTATAAATAACGATGTATTGCTTTCTTTGAGAATGAAAAATTAATACGAATAAATTTTTTGAGTTTGGAGAAATTATGGTGTGTTTCCTCAAGGCGTGAAGCCATGTTATTTATTTATTTATTAGGCGTCTGTTTTCATAGGTTAGATGCAACTGTTCACTGAATACTATTCATCATCACCTTCGCATCAATATCAATGCGTATATATTACATTATGGAGTGCAATGGAATTATCCATGTTCTTCACAGTAGCCTGAATCTGCTATAATTTTCATACAAGCTTATCAATTACTAGCTAAGCACTCGCAACATGAACCATTTCATAACCACCAACAGTTCTGGTCATTTTGGGAAGAAGGCATCGACCCCCAAACTGCTGCTGCAGGTACACAAGCAATGCAAAGAGGAATCCCTGCACAGGAATGATGACATCCCAAGCGAAAGAGTAGAGCTCGCCATCTGGGCTAGCGTTCATCTCTGATGAACTGAAAGGGGGGAAACACTGCCGATCTCTATAAGCATCATACAAATGTGGCAGTGCTCGAACACCAGTTATTCCAACGTAAAACAGAGGATGAAGAGCCTTGCCTCTGGAATTCGAGATCATGTTGAAGATAATCTGAGGGAACAAAAAACCATCAAGTATCAAACCCCATAGTGATATTTTCATCTGAGACTCATAGGATCTCCAATGAACAAACCAAGCAATTATTGCCCCGGTGAAATAAAATGGAAGACATAGCTTAAGAGCTTTCCTTTCTGCAATGCTGACTCCCTTGCTGGTCCACGCTGATTGAAGAAGATGGAACTGCAACAGGAAAGCCAGCATTGTCATGATCCTCACTGTGATGTCACTCAGTGAGATTCTTCCCTCATTAAGACTCGTGGAAAACACGGCCATAAAGTTCGGTACTAGAGGGATCATGTAGCCCACAGCCAGGATAGCAAGCATCATGATCGATATTGATTGCAGCATTTCTTGATGCTCTTTGATATGGAAAATCTGCAACAGGATGAAACTACATGAAAGCGGGAGAGAAATCAGAACCATGGCGATTTCTACATCCATTACTGATTCAGTTTCTTGCTCGTTGTATAGTTTACTCGATGACACCCTTAAAGGTTCAAAGTAAAGTGGATCATACTTCTTTCTTGTGCTGGTGATTTTCCCTGTAACATATTCTCCGTCCTCTGGATTTATAGGTGTGAGTTGGATGTTGACGAGAATTTTACAGTCTAACAACGTACTCACATACTGACAACCTACCATGCAGAGCTTTCCTGTCTCAGCATTGTATATACCTTCTGCAGAGATCTCTTTCCATTGTTTCATATCGTAGGAATATCGTATTCTGTAACCTATATTCCAGAGTCTCTGATTTCTGTTTTCTGATGTCGGGAGACTTACCTCAGCTGTATCAGAAAACCGATCAGAGATGCTGTATACATTTGTTTCACCAAAAATTAAGGGAGACGTGAAGCCCCACATTTTATTTCCTTTGGTATCTACCACTGTAATACCAAATCTCATATCATTCATCGAATCTCCTTCTGGATGTCTTTTATTGCCAAAACTAAGAGCTTTCTCATTCAAGCAAAACGATTCTGCCACAGTATCAAATTCAGTATATTCATATCTCCAACCTGACAGAATATCTATACCTATCTCCAAACTCCTGAATGAAATCATAGGGAAATAGCCAGGAGCATTCTTGCCTTTGTTGCTCCATGTCTTGCCCAATGTCGCACTGTGATTCCTGAGAGAGAAGACAGAAGGGAAAAAGAAGCTAAATCCAATAGTACAATCACCGACATAGCCATTTGTACCAGAATCTTGCACATCAAGTATTGGACATGCTAGAAGGCAGAGCTTCTTCTTCTCTCCATCCCAAAATCCTTCACCCACTAAAGATCTATCAGGTATGTGCATCTTGTCATGCTCGTAACCACTACTATTGAAGAATGATATATGCATATGTATCTTCCCGTTCTCTGAGCATTGAATCCGATTAAAATTCATAAATCTTGGAGAAAACCCAGGAATTATATCTAACATGAATCTCCCAAACAACAAGCTAGGGAGATAAGAACAGGGATCACTACCATCTATTCCCAGTGCGTTTTCAGGAACACCCCAAGAACTGCAGGAATCTCTAACTTCTGAAATCATGGCATAACTGTAATTCATCTGAGCATACGCTAGGACTGAAATCATATCAAAGTAATTTTGGCTATCAACAGGGTCCAAGCTCTCAACTGTTCCTTTAACGAGACTAGTGGAAATATTTGAGTTCTTCGGGTAATTAAGCCTAAAGACAACTGAGTGCACAAAGGAGGTACTTTGGCTTCTTGTTCTGCAAACAGAACCCATAGTGCAAACCAGCCTGTTATGTTCAACCTGGTCAGAGCCAACCATGCAGAGTTCACCAGTATTCTCAGACCAGAAACCTGAAAGCGAGAAACTCGCCCTTTTTTGTGCTTGGTTTGAGCTTGTATTTCCTTCGAAAACTAGAGTTCCATCGATTTGGATGATACCTGGAGTTCTAGTCATATACATGTGTTCTGTATAGTAGTAGAAGTATCCGGAGCTGAGAAGCTTGTTGCCGCCAGAGAAGTAGCCGTCGAATTGGAATGAGCTTGACGAGTCGACTAATAAGTTGCCTGTGGGTGTTGAGTGAGGTACCATAGAATCGCAGTGATCAGTGTAAGAGATTTTGATTGGAGAAGATGAAAAAAGAGGAGGGAAGAAGAACAAGATGATGAATGGGAAGAGAAGACATTGGTCTTTTTGAATATCCATTGATGATTGTTTGTTTAAGGAGATGAAGATGCTTGCTTTCGGTCTCATATAGAGATTTGAGCATGACGAATACCAGTCAAACGGGAGAAAATTAAGTGAAAGAAATGGATTTGTCTACTAATAAAAATCAGTAGAAGATAGGACTAATAACAGGACCCTAGATGGAGAATTAATAGCAAGAGACATAAGATGCTATTTCTCTGCTGACAAAGACGAGGTTGAAAATTCCTAGTCTCTAACATCAACTCTTTCATCTATCTTGCTATTAATGCATAAATAAAAGATCTCAAATGTCGTTGTACACGTTTGAAGGCAGTCATTGGTTTGGGATTTTTTTACTGACTTGAGGAAGTTTTGGGATTTCACGTTTCCGATTGGGATTTGAACTTTGAAATACGTATTGGCAGCCCTAGTTGCCGGAAATTGTCACAATATTTTCAATTTGGCTGATTCTTGGTAGGTGGGTGGAATTTTTTTAAGGTTTATTTGAATAAAAGTAAGTTTATTCATCTTGACGAGCGCAACCAAGAAGTATTAACAGGAGAACAAGGATCGGAATACAAACTTCTATGTACATGGCGACCTTATCTGGATCCGGTTTTTTGATTTTTCCAATAGCGGAGTAGAGTGAACTCCTAGGCAATTCAGTATTTTACACTTCCTTAAAGCAACAAACCAAACAAAGGACCCGTTAAAGGAGATGAAATCTATGATTGTGACAGAACCTAAGGGTGTGTTTGGCAAATTACACAAAACTGGGCTAGGACCCAGTTTTGTGCTAAACCGGTTTTTTTTTGGGCCAACTCCTACTGGTCCAAAAGAAAACTGGTTTAGTGCCAATTTTTGGGCTAAAAACTTAGGTAAGGTCTAGCTTTGAAATTTGCCAAACAAGAAACAACTTAAAATTGGGCGAGGTTCAGTCCTAGTCCAATTTTGCAAAGTTGTCAACACACCCTAAGACAACATACCAGACAATGCATGGGAGATGATCTCCATGTGTATGTATGATTGTGCCTGATACAATTTGTACTCAAATAAATAGGGGAGAAAGAACTTATTAACTAATGGAAAAGAACTCACCCCTAAAAGATAGTTGTTTACAGGGAGCAAACCCAAATTCCCTTATAAACCCATGACTCCCCTATCTAGCTGATGTGGGACGGAATAAGCCCAAACAGATTCAGGCTAGGAGAGGAATTTTTATTCTCTTGACCATTAACGTATAAGCGAAAACATTTGAAAAAATATGAATAGTCTTCCAACATGGCAACTAAATAATAATAATGAGAAAAAAAAGAGGTTATCTTCATCATCATTCAAATTTTCCTCTTTAAAATTATTTGTTACATAGATTTTATTTTTTGACAAAATTACATAAATATGAGTCGACCTCTTTACATACTGCTTTGTGTTTCCTGAGATAAGTATACATAGCCTACCCGACTGCCCAACACATAAAACTATTTCTCAATTTATTTAATTGAGAATACAATTATAAAGTAATTGAAAATACCTTTCCTCGTGAACTTCACAGAGCTGCCCGTAATCACCATAAGATTCTATAGGCTAATAAGAGGAACTGTCTCACATCTCCCAGGGGTTATGAATCTCTGTGGAATAAAGAACCCACAACCAAATCTCTACTGCAAGAATATCATGACTGTGGAGAGAACACCTACGACTGGAATTACTTTATTTCCAGCAGAGGAGTAAAAGCCTTCATGTGGGTTAGCATAGACGTAGGAGGATTTGAAATATGCGACATAGTTTTGAGCTCTATAAGGATCATAAAGAGGAGGCATTACACGAATCACAGTTGATCTCAGCAATCAACAGGCCTTTTTTGCCCTCTTCCGGAGATATCGCAGTCCAAACTAACTGAAGAAGATGGAAATGCAGCAAGAAAGCGACCATGGTCATGACTCTCACTATAACCTCAGTCACTTCAAGCCAACCCCCACTCCATATAAGAACATTCTTCTCACTTTGATACCTTACATATACAGTCTCAAAGTTCAATACTAGAGGGATCATACAACCCCGTGTTAAAAACTACAAGCATCGTGATGGGTATGGATGATATCACATCTCGGTGCCTCTTTAACATAGAAGAGTTGGAATTACAAGGAAAACACATGCAAGTGTGAGAGAGACCATAACTACGATGATTTCCATATCCAGTCTCCACATTGAATTGATTGCTTCAGATTGATGCATATTGCCTGATGAGATCTCTAAAGGCTCAAAGAAAAGCGGGTCATACTTTTCCCTTGTGCTCCTAATAGTCCCATTAACATGTCTCCTATTAAAATTTTCGACATCTTCTCCATGGAGATTTAAAGGAGATAGCTGGATATTAATGGCAATTTCACAGCCCGTAGAAGCCTCAGTGAATTATTTTGAAGCCAACAGCCAACCATACATAATTGTTGGGAACATGGTTGATGTTACAATATCTCTTGTATTTTGATGATAACAAATCATTGTTTATCTAACATATTTTACTGCAGATTCAAGATATACATCTCAAAGCAACAATCAAGATATTAAGACTATATCAAAGACAAGATTTTAAAGATAAAAAAGATGAAGTTAATCAAGTCACTTCGCGCTTCAAGAAGAAAATATACTTTACAAGAGTGATGTAATTTTGTCTTTTCTTTTAGAATCTTTGTACAAGCCTTGATCACACACACAACACACACTACTCACTTAGAAGATCATAGAAAATATTCTAAGTATAATCCTAAGTATAATCAACAAATGAATAACTTATTAAATTATTGAAACTATGTATAACATAGTTTCTGGCCGACCAAAGAAATATCTGGTCGACCAGATATAACTGAACCAGAAACAGAGATTCAGAAAAATCTCTGTCTGGTCGACCAGATATGGACCTGGTCGACCAGAGGCTCCAGACTCGGACAGAAAAATTCCAGGAAGCCTGTCTGGTCGACCAGGCCTCAATCTGGTCGACCATATAGTCATTTCTAACTGTCATTTTTTCAAAATGACATGAACGTTTTATGAACGTTTTGGCAGTTATTTTTGAAATATTTTGAACTAAACTTGTGCCTATAAATAGGTGTTAAGTTCTGAAGTTAAACAATAAGATTCCTTTCCATAAACTTGAGTTTTTCTTGAGTTCTTAATTTCTGAAGAGAAAAACTGAGTGAAATTTTTAGTTTTGTTCTTGATAAAAGTTCCATTACTCTAGAACAAAAACCATCCCTATAGCCTATTGTAAGTCACTCACATCTACACATCAAGGCTTATAGGAAGAGAAAGAGTTGTACCATTTTGTTTCAGTTTGATAATCTCTTGAAAGAATAGATTGTTGTGGCATTGGCAATTGAAGATTGTCAAGGTTGTACTGTTTGCTTGCGGTTTTGCAAGTGGAAATAGTGGAGAAATCTCAAGTGAGGCTTGGGGACTGGATGTAGGTCTGGAGGACCGAACCAGTATAAATCCTTGTGTTTGCGTATGCAATTTTCTGTGATTGTCTACACATTGGTTTGATCTTTCTTACTCTTTGTGATATTATTTTATTGAAATTTAAAGTTTCCGCATTAGATTTCATAAACACTATTCAACCCCCCTTTTAGTGTTTGAGTGCCATTGCAGCGGTCCTTCAATTGGTATCAGAGCGGGTTGATCAAGGATAACAATGGCTACACCATCTACATCACAGTTCAAGGAAGGACATTCTACTCAAAGACCACCACTTTTCGATGGTTCCAACTACAACTACTGGAAGTGTAGGATGAAGATCTACCTTCAATCGATAGGATTTGATCTCTGGAACATAGTGGAGTCTGATTACAACAAGCCTACTACTCCATATTCTGAATGGACATTGGTGGAAAGGACAAATGCGAATCTTGACGCCAAGGCAATGAATGCATTGTTTTGCGCAATGGATAAGAATGAATTCAACCGCGTGTCTACTTCCAACACTGCACATCAAATCTGGCACACACTTGAGGTAACCCACGAAGGAACTTCTAAGGTTAAAGACTCAAAAATTTCTGTTTTAGTGCACAGGTTTGAAATGTTCAAGATGAAAGACAACGAGACAATTGGTGAAATGTTCACAAGGTTCACCGACATCATCAACTCCCTAATTGCGTTAGGAAAGGACTATACACAAGTGGAGATGGTTAGGAAAATCCTCCGGGCTCTTACTTCGGATTGGGAAAAGAAGACTACCGCAATAGAGGAAGCCAACGACCTCTCCACATTGGCAGTAGAAAATTTGATAGGGAATTTGATGGCATACGAGGTGCAACTTGAAGATCGAAAAAAGGATAATGAAGATAAGAACAAGAAGGTTCTTGCTTTCCAAGCATCTACTGATGATGAGGATTCCGATGACGAAGAAGAGTTTGAAATAATCACACGCAAATTCAGAAAATTCTTGAAGAAAGGTAAGTTCTCTTCTAGTAAATTCAAAGATACTAACAAAGTCACTTGTTTTGGTTGTAATAAGCCAGGACACTACAAGAAAGATTGTCCCCTACAACAAAAGTTAAAGTCGAAGTCTTCTAACAATTTCAACGGGTTCACAAAGAACAAGAATGAACAAGTGAAGAACAAAAAGAAGAAGGCTTTGTCGATAACATGGGATGATAGTGACCAGTCATCTTCAGATGAAGAAGAGGAAAAAGAAGATCATCAAGCGAATATGTGCTTTATGGCAAATGAATCTGATGATGATCAAGTAAGTAATCATGATGAGTTACTTGACGCATTTAACGAATTATTTTTGAAATACAAGCAACTAAATTCTTCTTTTAAAATATTAAAAAATGAAAATGAAAATTTGAATAACACTTTAGTCTCTCCTTATGCTTCACAAATAGAAGATCTTAAAGAGAAGAATA